TGAATACGCGCTGCGGCATACCCAAAACAAAGCCTGTATACCATCCTTATTTCATATGGCTTAGGACAATGCATCAAAGTATGCGGGTTCACATATGCAGAAAACGTAATACTTCAAGTCGAAGGATAGTTACACCCGTGGTCGCGCTAAAGATGCTTAGAGCATGAACTAAAAGTTCAAGCAACATCTTTAGGATGGGTCAGTCCGGCATCCTATTATCTCTAGATAATATCTGCCCATGTGCGGATGCGAACACACCGTCATTGACTATGAGACTAAGTCAAACATCCAACACACACTAGTCTCACATGCATTAACGATATCCCACTCTCGTTAATACTCGACTATGGACATTTAGATAAATATTTATTTCAAGATGTTAGTCTCATCAGCAGAAAAACACTATCTGATAAACATCTTTTAAATATAAATCTAGGAATATAATATTTGTTTACATTAGCATGAGATGTGTAAACATATTATATCTGCCTATACATGATAGAATAACGATAAACAGTTGGCCATCAGGGCACAACTCCAACAATATAAGGGTATGCGAAGAAAAAAACTAAGATTTTGAAACAAATTTCTGAACATGTTAAGGACAATGACCAAAAAATGGGTCACGATAGCGTTTTACAATTTCTACAAATCTTTATGTCCAAACTATTTATATACATTGTATAAAACGTATTTTGATGAGAAAATGAAGAAAATTTGGGTTTTGAACGTAAAAACAAAGTTGCCTCGTCGGAGAAGGAGCCTGGAAATGACCAACTCCGGTGACAAGAATCTTTAACATTCTACACTTAAAACTATTTCTTTACATTCTAAGAAAGTTTTTAATAAGTTCTTAGTAAGGGAAAAAGGATAGCTTTGAAGCAAATATAAAACACTCTATGTATTATTGTTAAATTACCTATATAGAGAAAAATATGATATGTGTTGAATCCTATGAGACACAAATAGATACAATTTATATTTTCTAAATTTAATAAACGATCTCTAGTATGTGTGTTAGACATATATGGAAAGAAGTCTAGTTATAGCAGAATTGTTATTTATGTTAGTTTACTTATTTGGTGAATCCTAGTCCATGTAGGGATCCTCACCTATATAAACATCCATGTACACAATTATTCCTTAAGAGTGAATTCATAAATCAACATGGTATCGGAGCTCCATGATCCTTTTTTCTCTCCTTTCTTGCTGCGTTAATCATAAATATTAAAAAAAAAATCGGCAGAGCCGAGCTCTCCTACCAAGCCGTGCACAGCCATGGCGTCTGTCTCTTCTAATCCTATGGATCGTCTCCCTACGGGTCTCAAGTTGTTTGTCCGGAATCTCCAATCTCTAACCCCGGTCAAGCTTGATGACACCAATTATCCCTCTTGGTCAGCCACCGTCCGTGCAAATCTCCTCGCTCATCGTCTTCTCGGCTATGTGGATGGATCTGAACCGTCTCCTCCGTCTCGTATTCTTGATGAGAAGGCTGCGTCACCGGGAAAGGATGAACCGCCGGTTATGAAACCAAATCCGGCCTATGAATCCTGGCGTATTGTTGACGCTCAAATTCGGGCCTGTCTCCTTGCTATTGTCTCACCTACGGTTCAGACACATATTCATGCTCTTCCCACCTCGCTTGCAATTTGGAATTATCTAGAACAACGGTACAACTCTCTTTCACGAACTCATATATTTCAGTTGAAGGAGCGTCTCCATGGTGTTACTAAGGGGACCGATTCGATGCAATCCTATTTGGACACGGTTCTCACTATTGTGTCGTCTCTCAAACTGACTCATGAAGAAATCTCTAAACAAGATATTATCCTTTGTGTTCTACGAGGTCTACCGGCCGACTATGCCTCCCTCAAGCAAAATATTCGCACCAATATTGCCATTGTCACCTTTAATCAGGTCTCCTCTTGGTTGTTGTCTGAAGAATTG